AAAACAAAGAGACTGTACAATAATCAACACACTTCCAAACAGAAAAAGAAAAGAAACCAATGCATCACCATAATATTTATACCAACACCACAATTGGAATCTAAAACCCACTCACCCATAACCATAAACAAAAATGACTGCATACATCACTGTAATACCATTGCCACTCTTTACAAACAGAGGCAACACACAATTACTCTCTCAGACACAAATATTACCTCTTTATTTATCCTTATTATTACTATTATTTTATTTTTCCCTCAGAATGCCAATTCACCTCCCACAACATTATCAGCAATAAAAAAAAAAAAAAATTGCACCCACTCCACTTTGAACGTTAGGAGGGTACGATCAAACATATACCCTTCCATCCCCCACCCAAAACAAGAACCCAAACCACACCACCACGTTTTTCTTTCTGTTCTTCGTGGCTTTATGGATGTTACTTCAATAGAACGGGCCATCAAGAATAATACATAAATATACATAAATACAATTTCTTTTTATATTATTTTATTTACTACCGTTGGGCATGGGGAGTACGCATTGGCAATGAAATTACAATGGATCTCGCAGGTGGCGGAGCATGGTTTTTTTTTTTTTTCGTCTCTCTGAGTTCCCTCAGCGGCCAAATCTAATTTCCACCACTGGAGGGCATAGTTGTTACTATCTCTAGGGTCTGTGCATCTCCTTTTTTAGCAGCATTCACACTAAAGTGCAATATATAAAAGAAACTGCTGCTGATGGTACACTGACACACGCACCCCAGGATCTTCTTGGATAAAGTTTTGTCCTAGTACGACTCTGCTGGTCCCGGTGCTGTATGACGTTTTTAGCTTATGAAGCAGTAAACTCTCAAGAAGAGAATTTGCTGGCCCATGGCTTCCCTCAAAAGAATAAGGGATAATGGGCATTGACACCACCTTACGATGGCCAAACGNTATACTATTGTTTTACTACCGTTGGGCATGGGGAGTACGCATTGATAAAGAGATTACTATGAATCTCGTAGATGGCGGAACATGGATTTTTTTTCACCTCTCTGAGTCCCCTCAGCGGCCCAATTCAATTTCCACCACTGGAGGACATGGCTGTTACTATCTCTAGGGTCCCCGACACTCCTTTTTTAGCAGCATGCACACTAAGGTGTAATATATAAAAGAAACTGCTGCTGATGGCACACTGATAAGCACCTCAGGATCGTCTTGGATAAAGTTTTGTCCCAGTACGACTCTGCTGGCCCCGGTGCTGTATGACGTTTGTAGCTTATGAAGCAGTAAACTCTATAGAAAGAGAATTTGCTGGCCCATGGCTTTGCTCAAAATAATAGGGGATAATGGATATTGGCTACACCTTTCGATGGCCAAACGTCGCCAAGGGAATGCCATTTCTAAGAACGCCTGTATTGAAAAGAAAAAAAAAAAGGAAGAAAAGAGAAACCCGATGAAAAGACGCAAAAAGAACAAAAAACAAAAACAAAACAAAACCAGAAGGGTGCGTTTGTTATCCTCACTCACTCTCTTTTTTTTTTCTTTTTGATGCTTGGACGTCCTCTCTGCTTCTCCGACTTCAGCAAAAGTCTGGAAGAATTAAAAAAACAAAAAAAAAAGCAAGACCCGAGCCAGACGTCTTGTAAAAAAAAAAAAAAAGCAAAAAAAAAAAAACATAATAAGGAACAGATGGGAATTCACTTCGCCCAATTTTTTCGCAAAAAAAAAAAAAGCATGTCTTTCGTAAAGTTTTATCACTTGTGCAAAATATTCCCTTCAAAAGGGTC